GTCTAAATAGTATTCTATTGTGTCTATATGCCATTTTCTTTATATGCTTTTATCCACCAATAAGCACAAAGTTGGATTCCATATCTTAGCTATTATGACTAATGTTACAATAAACATGGGAGTGCAGGTATCTCTTTGGTATGCTGATTTCATTTTCTTTGTATGTGAACTATTGGCATTTGAATTTCTTCTTTTGAGAAATACATTTGTCCATTTTTAAAATTAGATGAGTTGGTTTTTGTTATTAAGCTTTTGAGTTCCTCATATATTCTGAATATTAATCCTTTGTCAGATGAATAGTTGGCAAATATTTTCTCACATTCTTTGCCTCTTCACTCTGTGGATTGTTTTCTTTGCTGTGCAAAAGCTTCTTAGTTTGATATAATCCCATTTTATTTTTTATTTTGTTTCCTGTGCTTTTTAGATCCACATCTAAAAAGATTATTGCTTATCCCAATGTCTTGAAGCATTTCTCCTGTTTTCTTCTAATAGTTTCACAGTTTCAGGTCTTATTAGTTCTCTGATCTGCTTTGTGTTTATTTTATACAGGATGAGAGATGGGGGTCAAGTTTCAATATTCTGCATGTGAATGTACATTTTTCCCAGCACAATTTATTAAAGAGGCTGTACTTCCTCCAATGTGTGTTTTTGATATATTTGTCAAAATCAGTTGGCTGTAGATATGTGAGTTTATTTCTAAAATCTCTAATCTCTTCCATAGGGTATTTATGTGTTTATGGTAATGCCATGCTATTTGATTAATATGTCTCAGTGGTGTGTATTGAAATCAATATTGTGGTGCTCCAGCTTTGTTCTTTTTGTGCAAGATTGCCTCATCTATTTGAGGTCTTGGTGCTTCTATATGAATCTTAGATTGTGTTTTTTAGGTCTATGAAGAATGACATTGGTATTTTTGATGGGTATTGCATCAAATTTACAAATTGTTTTGGAAAATGTGGACATTTTAACAATATCCTTTCAATCCATGAATATGTGAAGTCTTTCCATTTGTGTGCATGTGTGTTTTCAAATTTTTTCATCAGTGTTTTGTAATTTTCATTGTAGAGGTCTTTTGCTGTCTTGATTTATTACTAAAGTTTTGTTGTGTGTGTGTGTGGTTTTTTGTTTTTGTTTTTTTTTTTTTTTTTTTTGGTTGGTTTGGTTTATAGTAACTGTGAATGAGATCACCTTCATGATTTATTTGTCAGTAAACTTGTTATTGGTGCATAAAAATGCTACTGATTTTTGTATGTTGGTTTTGTATCCTCCAACTTTACTATGAATTCATTTATCAGTTCTAATGGACTTTTGGTGGAGTCTTTTGAATTTTTTCAATATATAGAATCCAATCATCTGCAAATGGATAATTTGGCTTCCTCCATTTCTATTTGTATACCTTTTATTTCTTTATTTTACCAACTTTCTCTGGCTAAATCTTTTAGTTCTATGTTGAATAGGAGCAGTAAAAGTAGACATTCTCATCTTGTTCCCGATCTTAGAGGAAACACTTTTAGCTTCCCCCATTCAATGCAAAGTTGGCTGTGAATTTGTCATAGATGGCCTTTATTATGTTGGAATACATTCCTTCCATTCCTGACTTGTTCAGTGTTTTTTTCTTGAAGGGATATTGAATTTTCTCAAATGTTTTTGTTGCATCTATTGATATGATCATATGATTTTCTCTTTTTCATTCTTTTGATGTTGTGTACTATTTATTGATTAGAATATATTGAACCATCCTTCCAACCCTGGGGAAAATCCAGCTTGATCATGAGTGTACAATCTTCTTGATATGCTATTAGATTCAATTTGTTAGTATTTTGTTCAGAAATTTTACATTTACGTTTGTCAAGGATACTGGTCTACAGTTGTCTTTTTCTGTTGTATTCTTGTCTAGTTTTGGTATCAGGGTAATTGTATGTTTTTTGAATTCTTACTATATATTAGACTCATTACTATCTATTTTACTTATGTTTTTCCAATTAACTCTCCAAAAGAGACTGTAGGTGACATTAAAATTTTCACAGTTCAGATAAGGAAACTAAGGCTTAGGAATGTTAAAAACTTCCCCAAAAGTGATGCAACTGCTGCTGCCAGATTGGAAATTCCAGCCCAGTATTGTTGGATTCCAAAGTCTATACACATGACAATGACAATAAACTCCAACCTCTTAAATGGATCTGAATATACATGACTGGTTGGTAGGACAGAAGTCTCCACAAAGGAGTGAGCTTTCCTGTGGAACATTTGGTGGCTGTTTACAGTAATGATCTGGAATGTTTAGCAAACAGGCCTCAGCCATTCTGACAAAGCCATTGATATTTTTATTATGTCATAACCCAATGTCACACAGTTTGCAGTTCAGAACCACTTATCAGATGTGCAGACCTTAAGGAAATGACTATGGTAACCTGCCTACACTGGGCTGAATAGAACTTTGAAATATCTGATTATTGATTTATAGAACAAAAACCCCACAGGAAAAACCTGGGTATAAGACTCACTGACCAGACCCCCACAAACACAAGGTCAGGAAGTGGGCAGATGCTGATTCTTCTGGATTATTTTCAGAGGGAAGGCACTTATTGGGTCACTAAGTTATGGGCACTGCAGTTTGGTATAATTGCTATTAGCCATTTATAGTAGTTCTTCCTTAAGAAACTGATTGGATCCTCATGAACCTGAGTCTTCTAATTCATTAAATGTATCTACAACTAACTCCTACCCCAGGGTGTTTTTTAAAGGACTAGAAATGTCCATAAAGAAGGTGGCACTTTTCCAACTTCAGATGATTGTTGCTGCCTCCTGTATCTTGATATAGGTACGTGCCTACCACCAGACTAAAATATCCATGTTACTTATCCCTTTCCCCAAAGTATTACTGGAGAAAAACTAACAGTTAATATTAATTTGCTTTCCTAACATCACATAAAAATACAATTGCTGATTTTTTAAGATGTTATTTTTGTTGGTCATCCTTTAGGCCACTGCTTTTTGATAATATTAGTTCCCTAGGAAGTCTTTTCCAGGTCTTGCTATAGGGTGTGCTACTTCCATGGGACCTTTCTATTCAGAAGTTATTCTTTCCTGTGGGATAGGGATTCTTATTTTAGCATGCACCCCAGATAATTTCACTTACAGACTCATCTACAGAGTGGTAATTCATGTTATTTTAGGTACCTGTGGCTCTCTACACCATGACTACAGTCCAATTTCCTGCTCTTCACAGCCATTAAGAGATGGCATCAAACTTCTTCCCTTAATATAAAAAAATCTGACTCTATCATGGCTTTAGAAGGCAAAACCCAAAGATGATTAAAGGATTAGAAAATCTAATATACAAAGAAAACTGAAAGATACCAACATGTTTATCTCACAAAGGCAAAAAAAACCCAGCCATTCCTCATTGAAGAATGGAACTAGAAAAAAAATGAAATTGTATGGTAGCATAAAAGATTAAGAAAAATGTCTGACAACCTTGTAAATATAAAAATGAGTTAAATTAAAATGTTGTCAATTCTCCTCCTTTTGGAGAATTCAAAGATGTGGTTTAGAGTATCTATTGGGGACAGTCTGGTGCAGTCTTAGATTTATCCTTGCCCAAGGGCTGACAGATGGATCAAATGACCTCTCAGCATCCCTTCCATCCCCACACTTCTGTTTTCCAATGAACGTTGGACTGGCTTGTTAGCTGAGTCAGATTTGCCCTTGCAAGTTAATGAAGGAGTCAGCTATTTAAAAGGAAACAGGGAGACTCTTTGTCCCAAAAATAAAAGCCTGGTTTCACTGTTTCAGATTGGATTATACCGTTACATCCATTTACTTCTTTGAATCACAAAGTACTTTTGGCCTCCTAGGGTTCCCTAACAGAGTGAAGGCAAGTAACTAAAGCTACCAGATAAGGGCTTAGCAGACATCAAGGCCCTGCAGTAGGACCAAGAACCAAGATATAGGAAGGGGAAACCCAAAGCAGACAGGGAAAGACAGAAACAGGGCTATAAAGATAAACTGTGCCTAACTGAAAATATGTCTCTAAGCTCCTGCAAAAGATAATGCTCTTCTCTCTCCCAGAAGGGTTCTATTATTCTTTTGATGAAAGTAGAGTTCCTGCCAGGTACATTACACTGTCCATGGCACTGGGTTCACAGAAGGTAAATGGATGTGACTCCTGCTTTCCTGCAAAATACTGAATATGTAGTGAACCTAGCAATTACTTGGTGGAGTGGGGGGACGTCTATACTTGTGCAACAAATAATGACTGAGTTGCTAATATGCACAAGGTACTTTTCTGGGTAGTAATCAAGTGGACAAATCCTTCACCCTCAAGGAGCTTACATTCTGGTGACAAGTTATATAATGAAAGAAGCACAAGGTTCTCTAGGAACAAGGACAGGGAGAACTGTCCTAGCTACCAAGGCCTTCCCAAGAAGGGAGGGTTGATTTGACGTGCAAATTAAGTAGAAGACACCTGGAGAATGGACCACTTAGAAATGCCAAAAACTGGAGTGGGGAGGTAGCTCTAATAGAGCAATTGACTGACATGTGCAAGGCCCTGGATTCCATCTCCAGAACCACCAAAATAAAATAAAAAGAAAAATTACCAAATGTTGTCAATGCCACCTCAATTCTTCTAAGTCAGGAAGAAGGCTAATTTATATCTTTCTCTTTCTCATTCAAATATTTACACAATAAATAATTTAAAAACAATGTTTAAGCTAGGCTTAAAACTATTTGATCTCATTTTTACCTTGTTGCTTTAATGTATTGTTCTTTGAACTATTACTCATAAATTATAATCAAATTCTCTATGAGTATGATATAATCTGGAGCCTAAGTTCAAATTCAGATAGAAGTTTCACCCTGATGATATGAGTATTGAATCTCATCCTGAAATATATTTGGTGTTATTGTGTTCAAACAAGATAATGTGTTTATATTGTGACATGGATTTTTCCCCACCTACATTGAATATGAATTATAGGTTGGTTCCTGCACTACAGGTGGACCTGTGGCAGCCCAGCAGTATCTCCTATGTAACAGAGGGAACAGTTACCGATGTCCATATTTCTCAAAATGCTTCCCGAGCCCTGTTAGCCTTCTTACAAGAAGCCAACATCCAGTACAAGTAAGCTCTTCCTTTTCATGTGCTACAAAATTCATTTGTATGAAATCAAATGAATGATCATTGTATTCAGATTATCAAGTGCTTACAGGAATGGTTTAAATAGCTTTTCATTTTGAGAAAACTAACATGGAAAATATTCACCTTGGATGAACTTACTGGGTTAAAAGGGAATAGGAACCGCCATATATGTCATTTCACTGTTGCCACTAAGTGATCATTGTCCACACAGACTCTTTTTCCAGTGAAGAAAAGAGAGCAACCTAACAATGTCTGGAGGACTTATGGGAAGGAAGAGGAGGAAAAGGCTTCCTACAGGAGTTGTGTCAGCCAGACCTAGAATGAGACTTGGGACCTGGCATGCAGAGGGAACAATGCAAGTAAAGGAAGAAGCAGCATAGAAATACAGTGTAAGTCAGAGAGCAGAAAGAAAAGGTGCAGGAGAGACAGCAGGAGATGAAGGGGTAGACGGTGTATGTGTAGCAGAAAGGAGCCCAGACCTTATCTTGTCCATGGTGCTGATCTATTAGAGGATATAAGCAAAAGAGTCACGTGTCTGTGGAAGTAGAGGGGCAAGAGGAGATGACAGCAATGGTCCCAGCAAGACTGGGGAGGCCCTGAGTTAAGACCAGAGTAGTAAGATGAAGAGAACATTTAAAAAAAAAAATCCAGAAGTCAAACCACCTGGACTCTCCACTGATTGAATGGTAGATGGGAAAGGGAGACATCAAAGGATAACTCCAAGTTGTCTAGCTTGGAAAAGCTAACTAAGTAGACAGATTTGAAACAGGTTGGATATTAAAAGGAATCAACACAATAAGAGAGCAAGTAGGAGATAGTCAGAGGAATCAAATCAGAGGGAAGGGTCATGGGGCCAAGTACTACAGTGACTTCCAGCAAGAAGGAACTGAGCAGGCTCCTTGGGATTTGGCAATGGAAATTGTGTTGCTAACACTAATGATGAGATTCAGTTATTAGGGATAGAAGAAGTGAACAGGGAGAAGATCTTGAGCAACCGAGCAGACTACAGCTCTTAGCAATCAGAATAGGAGAGGAGCAGAGAAGAGGAAGTGACCACAAAGGATTAGTGACTGTTTGGAAGATTTGGGATTTAGGTGAGAGGGGGGGGAATTTTCTTATGTCTGTGAGCTGAAGGGAACAACCAGAAGGGAGGGAGATGTCAATCATGCCAGAGAGAATGCACAGGTGCAGGGATGAGTTTGAACAATAGGAAGGTTACCTCATCTTCTAAGATTCAAGAAGTACATGTGGGTTTACCTAAGATTGCAGAAAGGAAAGTCCATGCATTGAAGGAGATCATAGTTTAAAAGTTTCTGGATGAAGTAAGAAGCAAAATTATCTAGCACAAGTGAAGACACTGTTTTTAAAGAGTGTTGGCAAGAGAAAAACCAAGGTAAGAACCAATAAAACTGAGAAGAGAGGCGAGAATAGAGAACTGATATAAAGGTGCTATCTTGTCGGATAAGATCAAGGAAAAGTCAGGATGGCAAAGACGTCAAGACTCCCAGGGAGACACTTGATCAAGTATTCATTCATTGGGGTCTAATCAGGATAAGGAGAGAGAAGAATCTTGGAAGAATCATGGAACAAAATGGAAAATCAAAAATGGCTCGAAGGTCATTATATTGAAAACAAGTATAGTGTGACTGAGAGTAACAGTGGGAAGGAAGGAAGTTTTGACAAAATGTGGGCTGTTGGATGTTATGAATTCTAGGTTAAAAAGCTTATGGCTGGTGACAAAATCCAGGCATTAGCCATGAAGGAGATGGCTGGAATGGAATTTGGGGTGGAAAATCACTGAACTGGATGCAGTGTGGATGATAATTCACAATAAGGGGCTGGGGGCACTAGGGAAGAATAGAGGTACTTTGGATTAGACAGAGGAGAGTGAAAGGAGGGGAGGGAGAAGGGGAGGAAGGATAGTAGAGTGAATCGGACATTATTACCCTATGTGTATATATGATTACACAACTGGCATGATTCTACAACCATGTACAACCAGAAGAATGACAGTTATACTCCATTTATGTATGATGTGTCAAAATGCATTCTTCTGTCCTGTATAACCAATTAGAACACATTTAAAAAAAAATAAAAAGAATAAAAGGACTACCTCACCAGAGAATGGCCATGGCAGTCTTGAATCTCCTTAGCTGGTGGTAAGATTAGAGGTGAAGGACAGAGCCAGGAGTTAGAGGAAAGCAACAAGGAATGGCGTGAGCTCTGCCCAGAAGTGAGGAGATTAATGGGAAAGCAAAATGGTGTCCAGGAGAACCCTGACCTCCCTCCCTTTGGGCCCCATGATAAGTAGGAAGGGTGTGTTGAGTAAAAATCCACAAAAGAAAGTGCCAAATTTTTGGTATGAAAAGAGAGAGTTCTCTGAAGATACTGGAGAATGTAGGAATTTGTTTACAACGTAAGAGAGACTCCAGTGGGCACAGGGTAAAGGGGGTGGTTGGGAGAAACAGTGCCCGCAGAGGATTTGAGGAAAAGAAATGCAGTATAGTGAATTAATGAGACCAGAGCGTAGCTTACCCTTCACTGGGATATTTGGGGCCTGAGGGGCATAATGATCTCACACCCTCAAGTACCCCACCTTCTTAGCAGGCTAAGTACTGTCAAAACTGGCACACAGGTTTCTGATCGTGTGTGGGAAGACATGGGGTGGGCTGATGGCTCTGTGAATCAATGTTGAAGGCCCCAGGCTCTCTGGAAACCTGGGACAAAAGGTGCAAAATGACAGTGACATCCCTGATCCACACAAATACTGCCCTGCCGGAAAGATATTTACAACCTATTAAAGTACCAATAAGCTTTTGCAGAAAGGCATTTTATTTGTGCTTCTAGAAAAGAATCACAGCTGTGCATAAAACTATTGTTCATATTGGACACATTTTAGTCGGTGCTGCTGCTTTGACGCCGTGCTTTGATTCTCTGAATGCCTGGCAGGAAAGAGCTTGGCAATTATATCCATAGGTGCCAGTGACAACCTACATGCTTCATTAATTATTGTTCAATAGAAAAGAATATATCAGTTAGTTTAACAAGTCTCCATTTCCTACCATTAAATATAGGTCATGTGGAACTGATACAGAAAAAAAATGTCATACTTTGTGTCACAGAGAATAGAGCCTTAAAAAAAAAAATGAGTGTTTTAAATCAGTTGTCTCCTCAGGAAGAGCAATCATTTAAAATTATTCATTTTGTTGGTCCCAAGATAATAACACTTAAGAGTGAATTAAATTCCTTGGGCATGATAGGTAGAGATCATTTTAATTGACTTTTATTATTGTAGTCTGGGGTATTTTCCAAAGATTATCATTTATTCTGTACAAACTATATATAAGGTATCATTAGAGTGATCTTTAAAGCACAGATAATGTGACACCACATGTCTGGTCCCCAGGTGATCAATCCTCCTCTCCATGAGATGACTCATTCTGCATAAAAAGTTCAGTCACTTAATAAATTCCTGTGAAAATTGGCATCAAAATTTCTATTTTGAGGGCCCTTCCCGATGCTGGAAGCTTCTAGGAGATGGTTTTATATTGAATTACAAAATTTGTAAAGTTTCTCATTGTTCCAGATATATTATAGAAATGTACCCAATTGGAGTAGGAATCATAATGAAATATTAAAAAAAAAACTAAGAAAACACAACAGTTTAAAAGATTTTTTTTTGGTACTCCATTTCGCAGCTTTCTCGTCAATATTGCTGGTTTCCAGTCCAGTACTTGACAAGGAAAATGGCTCTGCATCAGCTATATTACAACTATTTTTTAATTTAAAGTTGGCCTTTTATACCCTGTGTGAGAGTATAGTCCTAAGTGACTGAACAGAGACTTGAATTATTGTGCTGGGATTGCTGTAACAAAGTACCACAGACCTTTTCAACTGGGCATTCAGAAGGAGAGCCTTGTGTAGATTGCTGGCTTTGGCAAATCTGTCTACGTTTTTTTTTTTCCCTTGGTTTCTTGGGATAGAAAAATAAAAGCAGCTGAGAGAAATCATCCTGGAAGAAAAACATACTTGAAGGTTGCCTGCAGTAACTGGAATATGAGAACGATTTATAGCCACCTTCTTAATCAAACCCACAGGGTGACTCCACCTGCTGCTGGTTTCATCCATTGCAAAGAACCTGGCATCCCTTGCCCTGGCCTCAGCCTTTAATTTCTAAATGCGCTCACCTTGACTAGCTGAGCTTCTCTATTCTTGGCATTCTTGACAGTGGTAGGCAGCAAGATAGCTTCCTTTTTCACTATTCAGGTTCTCTATTAACACAAGGAAACTCAGACATTGACAGAGCTAGCTCATTTGGCTCCAAAGACTTGTCTCTGCAATATGGTAAAGTTCTTTAGCCCATGCACCTAACCATCTGCAACTTTTCATCTTTGGGAAAATAGAAAACACTAACACTGATGGTGTTTAGGCTGAAATTTAATGTTCCACTCATATTTTGAGCCACTGCAAGCAGCTGCCAAGAAAATTTACCGAGCTTTGTGCCATTTTACCTCTCGTCTTGATTCCTGGAATGTTTCCAGCTTTAAAGTACAAAACTGAAACAAAAAGAACAATAAACCAATGATCAACTCCTGATTAGGGGTTTTGTCCATGGCAGGTGCTCGATAAATAATAACTGAGTAAATCACCGTGACCCCCAAGTAAATGTAGTTCCATCATGGACCAAAAAAGTATTTACCCATCAGATTATAAAAAATGTTTTAATTGATTAATATTTTAATTGATTAATTATTAATTATTTTTAATTAATTTTTTTTAATTTTAAGGCTTACTTAAATCATTCTTTAAAAATGTTCTGATAATATTTAAACTTTTTAAGGAACAGATTGTTTTGGAAGAGAAAACATGCAGCAAAGCTTTTTAGCCATCTTCTAAGCCCTGAAAAATCAGTGAAGGGCTCTTAAATATCTTTAACTATTGCAAATAAATGCAGCGCATTATAACTTCACAGCACTGTAGTAACTGGTGACCAGCAAGTCTTGGAAAAACAAGTCTGCATCTAGATTAGACATCAAGAACACTGATGACTCCACCTGGACCTGGCTCCACCCATTAGGCTGAGCCTGTGTCCCCCACCCCAGCCTCAACCCTTAGTTTCTCAGTGCACTCACTCTGACTAGCTGAGCTTGTCTTCTCTTGGCATTCTTGATACTGGCATGTAGCAAGATGGCTTTTTCCAACTCTGGGAATTTCTTCAGCTTATTCTTGAGAACTGTAACTTCTGTTCCCTCCCTTTCCTCTCTGCATCTTAGGTCAGATGTTCTGAGTGATGACCTGAAAACAGTGTCTCCGTGAAGAAAGGGACATGAACAGACAGAAAGAGCAAGAAAGAAGATAAGGAGAGGAGTGAAGGAGTAGCCTAGGCTTGCTCAGTTTGCATCATGTCACACTAGAGTTGGAGTTGCAAGATTAGAATTTATGTGCACATTCCTTGTTCAAATTCTGGCTCTGCATTGACCAAAGAGGTCTGATACTGGCAAACTCTTAATCCCTTTGAATTTCAGGTTCCCCTTTTATAAAATGGAGATAATCGAGTCCACTATATACGGTCACTTAGATTATGTACATCAAATACACAGCCCACCTTGCTATGGCCCCTAGTCTAAGTGCTCATAGCCATTGTTTGGCTGTTTTTAGCTGCTCACTCAAGGGTAGCTGTTGTTACAGTGCTACATTATTTGGGGACATCTGCCTACAATGTTACACTTTAAATTCATTCTACCATTTATTTAATCATTTTTATTTCCCAAAAAAGAACATTTTCTCAACATTTGGTATTTTTAGAATCGTCATTCTTGGCATCCTTCTTTTTCCTTTCACATTATGGAACACTGGGACACTTCTGTGTTACTTGTTCATTCCTTATGTATCTAATTTTTTGATGTTGCATGATTTTTGCATCATTTCAATTTACTTTTCATAATGTCTATTATTTCAAATCCAGGATTCTCGTAGAAGATCTTCAGAAAGTGCTGGAAAATGGAAACAGTTTGCCAACCCAGAGAAACAGAAGATCCCTGTCTGAATATAATTATGAAGTGTACCACTCCTTAGAAGAAGTGTGTAATCATAGGAGTTTTTATTGCTTTTTTACAAGTTCATCTTTGATATTTAGGGTTAAGTATTGGGAAAGAAGCATAAAGACAGAGATAATTGCTCTGGGAAGAATGTATAGAACTCTTACATGACCTCAATACCTCGATTCACTCATTTCTTCCACTGACCCTTTCACTGCTACAAAAGAAGTAGCAAAATAATTTAAATTTCACCTGATTTACCCAGCCAACTTCTACAAAAGACATAGGAGTACAATGGAAGACTGAGGTAATGTTAAAATGATAGTTATCGAGGCCTTAACTGAAAAGCCATGAAAGTAGAACTAGCCAGAGTTTAAAGGTAATGCTTTGAGACTTGAGACTTTCCCTACACCCTTGCAAAGCTGAGAACTCCCAAAGGCCAGTCCTCACTAGTGGCACCTCTGAACCTTTGAACATGCTGTTATATATTCTACCCAGAAAACTCACAGCAACCTCATCCTCACCACCAACCACATCCTTTACTGCTCACCTGACAACTTGTCATTCTTCAAATTTCAGCTTTAAGCAATCAAGTAGCAGTTTCTGTTCTTCCAGACTGGATCCAACCCCTCTGCCCACTACCCTCCAACATCACACATCCCATAACATATGGATATTACCTTTCACAGTTCTTAGTTGTGTCGTTATAGGATTATTTGATAGGTGCCCTTCATTCCTACTAAGTTGCAAGTTCCAGGAAGGCAGACTATTTTTTTTCTCATCTACCACTATATCCCCAAGGGCAGGTAAATAGAGTCTTTAAAATAGATAAGCTGTTGACAGAATGAATAAATATATACATTTTCTATGTTCCCTGAATTGAACAAAGGATCAGCAGACACCAAAATTAACAAGATCCTGTTCTATTATTAAGAATATTTTTGGTTCTGTTGATGATAACTCCTTTCCAAAACTCTTTTCACATATTTTATGTCTCGATATACCTTTTAGAAGCTGGAAGCAGTAGAAATGTTTTAGATAACTTGGCACACCGCAGTGCTCTTAAAATGTACTAGAAAAAAGTCAAATTTCAAAAATAAAATGGATACAGATATGTACACAAATGTGTGTATATATATTCACATATATATATATGAACCTGATCATTAGATTAAATAGGAATAGGAAGAAAAGAAAAAATACACGTTCCAAAATATATATTTTTTTCTTGAATACAAACTCTTTTACATCATGGAACAGTGAGATGCTTTTGTGTTACTTCTTTATCCCTTATAGGGCTTATAAGTCAGAAATGTTACCATCTTTCTAAGCATCTTATTCATCCATTTCAAATATACCTTCTCCTGATGACAGATAAGCATGTGAGAGGGATGGAGACAAATATATCACTGTCACTGGAGGGACTATTCAGAGTTGTCCTCCAACATGTGGCTAAGTAGAATAATGTTTAAATGCAAATGATAATAACTTTTTCTTAGCATCTTCTGTTCTGTGGGAAATTACAATATATGGAATTTGAATACCACTTTCAAGTGGTTTAGATAGTTTTCATAAAGTGGATTTAAATTTTTCTCTCTCTCTTAAATATCTGTGGGGAAAATGGAAATAAATTCTGATTTTTTTAAGAAGAAACCAGAACACATCAGTTAATTTTCCACAAAACAGTGTCAGCAAGATATTAATGACATTTGGCAGTAGAAGATATGCTTTAAAGAGGGAACCATAACCAAGACATAAGCTATCTATAAAGGCAGAAAATAAAATGTAAAATTTTAAGTATCCAAAAAAAATTAAGTAGAGGAAATTGTTTTTTTTTCATTTTGTATTTAATATATACTCTTTGAATTCTGAGACCTACTGCTGTCATTTTTGTTACCTTTATTCTCTAAAAGCCCCATTACTGTAAGAGAGTCTGACGTGGTTTTTATTTATCTGCTTTTAGATTCAGAGTTGGATGCATCATCTGAATAAAACTCATTCAGGCCTTATTCATATGTTTTCTATTGGAAGATCATATGAAGGAAGACCGCTATTTATTTTAAAGGTAAAAAAGAAGAAAGTGTCAACCAAATATAAAATGTTCATCCAATATTTATCTTTTTCAACTTAGGGAAAAAATGAAATAATTTTTCATAAGCCGTATTTAACATCATCTGATAATTTAAGGAAAAAAATCCCTTAGACGTTTGAATTATATTTAATATTTGGCATTTAGTATTCTAGAGGATACTGTTTCTGATATATTCAGAATTACTGATGCCACTTATTTGTGAGTTGGTGCTAGTTAAGATGAACCAGCGTAAAACCAGGTAAATGTGTAAGAAGGATGTGTTATTCCCATCCCTTGATCCTGTATTCTCCTCCAGCTACTGACCCATAGTGTTCTCTCTCAGTTAAACTTCTAATAAGATTTGCCCATAGTTAGAACATCTTTACTACTTCCCCTCCCCTAACTGGCTCATGTCCCACAGCTCCCTTTAAACTTACCTTGCCAAGGTCAACGATGACTCCCAGTCAATTCTCCTCCTGTCTCTTTGACCATTCATTCCTTCAAGTCTCATTCACTGGCTCCTCTTTCCTTGTCCTTTCCTTAGGTTCTGGTGATCCCCATGACCCTACCCACATCTCTGCTTTCACTCCATAAACCCTGTCTAACTGGGCATATCTGCTGGTAATGTCAACAGTCATGCCAGACCTTTCTATCCAGTGGAGTCCACTCTCTGGAGCTTTGAATTCACACATCATTGCCTGCTTGACACCTTAACTTGGATATTCATAAAAGCAAGCACCTCAGAGTCAGAATGGCACCATTTTCCTCCCAGTTTAGGAACATGATTATCATCCTAAATTCCTCTCCTTTATTTTAATCACTCACTTTCAGTTGACAATTCTTTTGGATAAGCCCAAACCTCTTCCCTTGTCTTCGCTGGTGTTACCCTAACTCACCTTTAGATCTGTTCTCCTAGACTATTGCAATTGTGGCCCCAGTACTCAACTTCTTTTTGAGTCCCTGTTCTTGGCCCTCTCATCCTCCTATCCATCCTCCACATTGCTGTCAGAGATAACACGAACACATATGCACACACACGTGAGCATTCACACATACTCATGCATGCACACACACATGTGTGTGTGCGCCCTTACCCCTTCCGGGGAATATGGAACCCATCCTCATCTCTTTTCCATAATATCCAGGGACTCCAAGTGTTCTCTTGCCTCTGTTACAGATTCACATGCTGTTCCTTCCTCAAACTACAGAAGCAATCCTTGCAATATCATGTCCTCAGATTCTCTTTCAAACTTGAAATACCTTCCACCAATTTGTCTGCCAGGCAAAATTGAAAACATGCTCAAGTACTTCTTTTGTGAAGCCTCCATTTATCCCCCAGGAAAATTCAACACAACACCCATATTCCTAAGATGCCTTATGGATATTCACACCGTAAAGGTTGATTGATTGCTTACCTGTCTACTCTCCCCACTAGCATGTAAACCCCTTATGCTTTCATCTTTGAATCTCTAGGATTGAGCCCATAATGTTAAAAAGTGTTTTCCAAAGTATTAGTTAAGATCCCCTATGAATATAATTTCAAAAATTATCTATTAATGACTGGGTTAGAAACTTGGTTAGAATTAATATTGACATAGTAATTTTTTAATCTACCACCTGATTCTATAGACCAAATTGTTTTAAGTTTTCCCTTTTGTGGTATAATAAAGTTTGACTTTCTTCACCTATAAAATATAGCTATTTGTTTAAGAAATATTCCTTGAGAACATTTCTGATTGGAAAATTTGGGGAAATGGTGGGGAAGGGAGAGAGAAAAAGGAAGGGAAGGAAGAAAGAAGAATTTAGGCTTTTATTTAAACTTCATATCTTATATTAAAATAGAAGCAACCCTATTTTAGAAATTTCCCTTTCCCTTGTATATTTTATACTTCTTTGATTGTATTATTAGGGCTTTAAATTTATTGTTTCTGTATAAACAAGCCTGGACTTCCAAAGTAGATAGTATATCTCTCTATCTTTTTTATGTGTTACCTAATGAACCAAACCATAGTGAAGAATTATGCTGAAATCTTATTAAATTATGCTGGTCAGTGAATCTCCAAATAAAAGCCTGAGTTTGTTACTATGAATACTCCTGTTTTCAGCTGGGCAGAAAATCACGAGCTGACAAAAGAGCTGTCTGGATGGACTGTGGTATTCATGCAAGAGAATGGATTGGTCCTGCCTTTTGTCAGTGGTTTGTGAGAGAAGTAAGTTAAACCCTTTGTTCAATGTCCATTTCAGCTAGTCAGTAGTTCTATGAATTTTTATTCTTCTCAAGGAACAAAGTGGGAATTTGAAACCAGTAATACCTGACTGATAATAACACCTTGATTTTGTGGGCTGCTTTCATGTTTATGAGGACTTGCAAAACCCTGGCTCAATTTCTCTTCACCTCCCTTGGAAGATAAAATTATCAACTCTGATTGAAAAGAAAAAAAAAATAGGGGCTGGGAGTAGAGCGCTCACCTAGCACATGCAAGGCACCAGGTTCAACCCTCAGCACTACATAAAAATAAATAAATAAATAAGGTATTGTGCCCAACTACAACTAAAATATATATATATTTTTTTTAAGAAAAAAATAAGATTTATAGACTTGTAGATTTCTGACAATTAGATAACAACCATAATAGTCATATAACAAAAGAAAAAAATTTAACTTGTGGTGTTCCAGAGCAATTAATTTCCTGTATTATATTCAGCTCAGAAAGCTCTAAATCTTTGTTTCCCCCTCAAAATGATCTCACATGTGCTATAACACTAAAGAGGGGGAACAAATAGTTGTATTATATTCTCTAGGTATAAATCTGTAATTTGGAAACCAAAAGGTATTTATCATCTATGGAGATTTGACATTCTCAGTTTCACTGATCTTTTGGTAGCCTTGATAATTGATGACTCATGGTGATTTCTCATATTCCATATGCTTCATTTGAATCACGAGCCCTCTGAACTCATGTGTTGAGTGGAGATCTTTCCCGAGCGTGGGCCCACCTTATGGACCAACCCACAATGTGTTTACTCCTTTTCTACTCATCGTCAAGAATGCACTGACTTTTAGGGATTTTTTTTTTTTGTAGAGTTTGGGGTTTTTCTGGGGGGAGGGGTTATTGTTGTTTTAACCTTTACTTTTAATTTTGAGAGAAAAAAAAATCTCTTAAAAGAAAACCAATCACTTGTACTGGTAATGAGAATGCAGACGTCTAATGAAAGGAAGTTTCTTAGCCAAAAACTAATCCTACAGATTTCTTTAGTCCTGTACTTATAGGAAACCATTATAGATACCAGGGATATTTTAATATATTTTATTCGTATTTCACTATATTTTATGGGGAAATTATCTGCTATAGTGAGTTTTGTGATTTTGAGAACTCTCCTAGGTCTTAGAAAATGTAGTGCACAGGTATTGAAAATGTACTAAATTTGTGAAGTCTGGCTCTCTGCCACTACCAAACCCACAAAAGTATCCTTAGTTTTATACATGTAATAAAATTTTCTGACTTTACCACTCAGATTATTAAGTAATTCACTTTCTCTTAAAAGATCATTTCATCCTCTAAAAAAAAAAACAAAATCTAGTAAGAAATTGTTAACTCTATTAACTTGTTTCAAACACTTAGTGTATACATAATGATATCATGTCTGCTGTTTCAAGTTTGGGGCAGGGAGTCAGAAAATAGTTAGTTACATAATATTTATTGTTATAGAATACGGTCCTGTAAGTATTATTGAATAACATAAGAATGTATCTCCCAAACATTCAAGCTAAAGTTTTAACTCACTCCCAACCTGTACATCCTTTTCTTTATAACATTGAAGCTTATTTATGTGGTTACTGTTAGTCTTACTCCCATTCCAATTTCAAAAGAAGACCCTGTCTATCTTGTTCACTGCCAAATCACCAGGATATAGAACAACACCTGACATATATGTTCAAATATTTCTTATTTATTTACTTATTCTAATTAGTTATATATGACAATAGAATGCATTTTGACACATCATACATAAATGGAGTATAACTTCTCATTCTTCTGGCTGTACGGGTTGTAGAATCACATAGGTTATGTAATCATATATGAACATGGGGTAATGATGTCCAATTCATTCCACTATCCTTCCTATCCCCATACCCCTTCCCCTCCCACCACTCCCCTCTGTTTAATGCAGAGTACCTCTATTTTTCCCTAACCCCACCCCCTTATTGTGAATTAACATCTGCATATCAGAGAGAACATTTGGCCTTTGGTTTTGGGGGCTGGCTTACTTCCCTTAGCATGATATTCTCCAGCTCCATCCATTTACCTGCAAATGCCATATTTCATTCTTTTTTTAAGGCTGAGTAATAGTACATTCTGTGTATATATATACCACATTTTCTTTATCCATTTATCTTTTAAAGGGCACCAGGTTAATTCCATAATTTGGCTATAGTGAATTGAGCTGCTGTAAACATTGGTGTGGCTGTATCTCTGTAGTATGCTAATTTTAAGTCCTTTGGGTATAAACCAAGGAGTGAGATAGCTGGGTCAAACAATGGTTCCATTCCAAGTACTCTTAAGAATCTCTATACTGCTTTCCAATTTGCAGTGCCACCAGAAGTGAATGGATACCTTTTCCCCCACATCCTCACCAACATTTATTGTTGCTTATATCCTTGATAATTGCCATTCTGACTGAAATGAGATGAAATCTTAGAGTAGTTTTGATTTGCATTTCTCTAATTGCTAGAGATGTTGAACATTTTTCATATATTTGTTGACTAATCATATTTCTTCTTCTGAGAAGCATCTGTTTAGTTCCTTTGTGCATTTATTGATTGGATTATATTTTTGGTGTTAAGTTTTTTGAGTTCTTTATGTATCCTGGAGATTTTCGCCCATTTTGTAGGTTCTCTCTTCATGTTCTTGATTGTTTCCTTTGCTGAGAAGCAGCTTTTTAGTTTGAATCCATCCATTTATTGATTCTTGATTTTACTTCTTGTACTTTAGGGGTCTTGTTAAGGAAGTCAGTTCCTAAGCTGACATGGCAAAGATATGGGCCTACTTTTTCTTCTATTAGGTGCAAGGTCTCTGGTCTAGGGCTAAGTCCTTCAAACACTTTGAGTTGAGTTTTTGCAGGGTGAGAGATAGGGGTTTAATTTCAATTTGTTACAGATAGATTTCTAGTTTTCCCAATGCCGTTTATTGAAGAGGCTATCTTTTTTCCAATAAATATTTTGGTGCCTTTGTCTAGTTGAGATAATTGTGTTTATGTGGGTTGGTCTCTGTGTCTTCTGTACCATTGGTCTACATGTCTATTTTGGTGCCAATACCATGCCGTTTTTGTTACTATAGTTCTGTAGTATAATTTAAGGTCTGGTATTGTGATGCCTCCTGCTTCACTTTTCTTGATAAGGATTGTTTTGGTGATTCTGTATCTCTTATTTTTCCTCAAATATTTCTTAATGAATGGTAAGTAAAAGTATCTAATAATAATGATGCAGAAAGATTTCTGGGCAATGACTTATTATATCATCTCATTGCTTATAAGAATACACCATAGTGAATTCTATCATCATATACATTCATAAGAATGGGGTCCTAACTAGAATAAGATATAGTCCATGCTTGTACAGTTATATCAAAATAAATTCTACTGGCTTGTATAACTACAATACAACAAGGAAACATCTCATTGGATATGAATCACTTGGACTTTTGCAGAACACACAACCTATATAGCTCTATACAGTAGCCCTATAACATGATCTAAGTTTCCAAAGAAAAGAAGGACACAGTATAACCACAGGAAAAAGAAGAAGCATATGTAATGACTGTCATCTGAGGACAGTTGATTTTGGATCTAGCACAAGAAGCATCAGCCATCAAGGGAATATATCTTGATGGTAGAGTGTTTGCCTAGCATGCACAAGACCCTGGATTTATTCCCCAGAACTACAAAAGAAAAAAGAAAACAGAAAAATAGATTTTAATAAAAACATGAACAAGAAGCATTAATTAATATTAGAGTCCATTTCCATAAAGATGAGTGAGAACGACTACTTTCTTTCTCCTTCCTCCTATACAGGGCCATCTTCACATATGTAGATGGATCAAGTAATTTCTATACCTCTGCTATCCTCTCCACACCTCTTTTACTCTCTCTGGTTATGACTGACACTTCTCCTTCCACTTTCTCATTTACATTTCCTATCTGACTCAGGACAGCAACCAGCGGTCTAGGATCAGTAATTTAATATTTTTAAATAATCCATGTAAAGAAAAATTGAAAAGAAAATCAGCAAGGATATAATAGAGTTCAACACTACCAAATAGTATCTGAAAGACATTTAGAGATCACTCCACCCAACAACAGCAGAATACACATTCTTTTCAGGTGCCCATGGAACATATGCTAAGAAATAACATACCTCAACAAATGTAAAATAATTAAAATCATACAAGGAAATCAAATTAGAATTTGAAAACAGGATGATCTCCAAATACTTAGAAATTAAACTGACTTCTTGATAATCTATGGGTCAAAGGTATAATTTCAAGAGAAATTTAAAAATGCATTGAACTGGACAAAAATGAAAATATAACTGTGTTAGTCAGATTTTCATGTGACAAAATATCTGGGAAAAACAATGAGGAAATATTTATTTTGGCTCACAGTTTGAGTATTGAGTCTACAATCAGCTGGTTCCATTGTTTTTAGACCTGTGGAAAGGCAGAAACATTACCATAGAAAGGTGTAGTAGAGGAAAGGGGCTACCATCATGGCATCCAGGAAGCAAAGAGAGAAGGGCCCAGAGACAGGATACACCCTCGAGGGTCATGCCCAGAGTGACCTGCTTCCTCCAAGTAAGGCCAGCCTCCTGAAGTTTCCACTACCCCGCAGTATCATCACTAGTTAGAGACCAAGCCTCCAACACATGAGCCTTTGAGAGGAACATTCCAGATCTAAACAATAACAACATATCAAAAGTGTGGGGCATGGGTACGATAATGCTGAAAAATAAAAATTTACAGCACTAAATGCATGTATGAGACAAGAGAGAGAAATCTCCAGTTATTTAAACTCTTCTCTCAAGAACCTAGAAAAAGAATACAGAATAAATCCAAAGGAAATAGAAGGAAGTAATATAACTAAGAAACCCTTGAAATTAAAAGTAGAAAACCGTTAGAGAAAGTCAATATAACAAACAACTAGTTTTTTAAAA